ATGGGTGGCTCAGTGGGTTAAAGCTTCTGCCTTCGGCTCAGGTCATGATCCCAGGGTCCTGGGATCGAGCCCCACATCGGGCTCTCTGCTCTGCAGGGAGCCTGCTTCCTCCTCTCTCTCTCTCTGCCTGCCTCTCTGCCTACCTGTGATCTCTGTCTGTCAAATAAATAAATAAAATCTTAAAAAAAAAAATCTAAAAGAAAAAAAAGAAAAGAGGTGAAGGCAAAAAAGGAAGGCAATGAACAGACACTTGTCCCAAGTAAGGGGGATGCAAAGTAGGCACAGGCAAAGAAGCCTAGAGCGGGGAGAGATGCAGTAATGGCAAGCTCCATCTAGACCTGAGGACCAAGAACTAAGCACAGGTCTGAAGGCTACCCCGGCTCCACCACGTTGGCACCATCTGGCGGTGTATGGTGGTAATGACAGAGAAATGAGGATGGGAAAAACTATACTATGCAAACTCAAACTACAAGTAGACTTGGAGGGAAAATTATTAGAGACAAAAAAAGTTACTGCATAATGATTGCTCTTATACACTGAATGCTTGTATCCCCAAAAGATTCATATGTTGAAATCCTAACCTCCAATGTGACAGTACTAAGAGGTGGGGGGACTTTGGGAGGTGATTAGGTCATGAGGGTAAGCCCTCATGGATGGGCTACCTGGCTATGTGAGGTTACAGTAAAAAGGCATCAGTCTACAACCAGGAAGTGGGTCCTCACCAGACACCAAATCTGTGGGTGCCTTGATCTTGGACTTTCCAGGCTCCAGACTTAACAAATAACTATTTATTGTTTAAGCCATCCAGTCTATGATATTTTGTTACAATGATTAAGACAACTTGGAAGTGTCAATCTGACAAGAAGATAGAACATAACTTCAAAATACATAAAGAAAAAAAAAAACCCTAACAGAAATAAAAAACAAAGTAACCTCAAATCACAGTGCAAATTTTAATACCTGTCTCAACAAATGGATAGAATAAATAGCCAAAAAAACCAGGAAGATGAGGGGCACTTGGGTGGCTCAGTCATTAAGCATCCACCTTCAGCTCAGGTCATGATCCTGGGCTCTTGGGAATGAGCCCGCATCAGGCTCCCTGCTCAGCGGGAAGCCTGCTTCTGCCTCTCATACTCCCCCTACCTGTGTTCCCTTTTTCGCTGTGTCTCTCTATATCAAATAAATAAATAAAATCTTAAAAAAAAAAAATCAGGAAGATGAGCTGAACACAATAAACTTGATCTGAAGTAAACAGGACACTGCACCCAATGACACCAGAATTCATACTCTTTAAATGCACATGAAATACTTAGCAAATCGACCATAAGCTGGTCATAAAGAAAGCCTCAATAAATTCAAAAGACTGAAATCATTCAACAATATGTCCTCTGATAACAATGGCAGAGAGAAACTAAAACCAAAAAGGAATTAGAAAATCACCTGCTGGCTGAGATGAAACAATATACTTCTAAAAATAGGTGATC